TTTCAAGAAATGAAATGAACATCAAGATCGGCAGTTGACGCTGCAGCATTGCTCACAGCAACTGGAAAAATTGCTAAAAATTAAATCTAATCAAGCTAACAGTGCATAAATTTTTCCTAATAAGTAGTTTTCCGAATTAGCGCAGAACAAGCCCTAGAGGATCTAACAAAAACATAAAGATAAACAATCATAAAAATTATCACAGACAAGCATGTAAATCAAATTTTCTACCTTAAATACACTACACATTCAGATCACTTAAGCCTTCCAATATTCTAACTATCGCGAAAAACACGAAAAGTCGGTAAAGCTACTACAGAGAAAGAGATGTACATGGCCTACGAGAGGCAGCTAAGAGAAAAAAAAATGTGTATTCCGCCTTGAAAGGCAGATACACAACAGATCCGTTGCCAAGCAGATCCTGGAGTATGGACCCAATGGTGTAGTGGGTAGTACGTCGCGTACGGATGTGAAGAGAAGTGGTTCGACTCCTCCCCGGTTCCATAACCGTTTTCGAAAACTAACTCCGTTCACGACACTAACACAGTGGTCAAAACTGCATGCAAATGATACACCGAATGGTGAACAACTTTCCTATGTCGTTTGCTACTTAAACAAGTATCTCGTTGTAGAAAATGCTAAACCCATCTCTTGAAAAAATGAGGTGAGGAAGGAGAGATGGACAAAGTAATGTGGTATTCCGTGGAAGCGACACTACAAAATCCATATAAGAAATCAAAACATTATCATTGGAGTCTTACGGGCTAGTGGTGTGGAAGCACTGATGTTATTGCGATATAGTAATCACTCCGAATTACAGCTGTATTGAAAAAAATCTAGAACTAACAGTCTATGAGCTACGACAACGAAACATACCATCAAAGCGGATTCTCTTAGACCATCATTTTGATCCATTAGACGCTGTATGATAATTTCAAGAACCGCAATCAGACTTGAATCTTTTTCAGGGCACCTGTCCAGAAGTTCGCAAAATGCTTCCAGCGACGCTTTAGCAAGTGGATACAATTCGGATGCATCCGTCGCAAGAATATGCAAAAGAAGCAAACAAACACTGCCCAACGGGAGACTTTGTATTTCATCTTCCTGAAATGATCCAAAAAAAAGGATGTATTGATGGCTTCGAGCAAAAAAGCTCTGGGATAAAATTAACACGTTTTTTTCCACCCTTCCACTGCCCTGTTTGACTCAATCACGTTCCAAAAGTTCACAACTGTTTCGAAAACTGGACAAGAAGGAGGCTTTTAGCAAATTAAATACAGATTTGTTAGTTTTTTCCAGTTCCAACTTATCCTAACTTATGACGCCAGCCCAAATTCAGCCTGATAACTCGTTCCATTCGTAAATATTCAATGCAGGAGATTTTTTTTTTGAGAACTTTTTTAAAAAAAAATTAAAAAGTCTTCTGCTGTAACTGCCGGCCTACTATTACGCGATAGGTTAGTTGAAATAAC